GTGCTTCCGCCATCCACCATCATTCGTTCTTCGCCGTCCATCGTACGGCGCCAATACGTATGCTGTTTTTTTTATTTTTTATTTTTTTATATCCTAAATAAACATTCTTTTGTTTTGTTTTTCTATAGATTCTTGGGACCACTTCGATATATTTAGCTTTTGTCTTTTCTTTTTTTTTTATTAATATTCTATCTTTATATTTATTAATTTAATATTGGTGAATGTAAACTAATTTATTAGATTTGATTTGAATTAATTGTTAATTTAAGTAATTATAAGATTATACGTTACTCCTTTTGTATTATAATTTAAATTTATTTATTTAATTAGTGTTGTTTGATGGTATTGTTATTTAATATCTCTTTTATTTAATTAGTTTATATGTCATGAATAATTCTTTTATTAAATAAAGTTAGGTAATGATAAGATTATACGTTATATTTTTGTATTTAATTAAAAGTTGTTTATTTAATTATATAATTGTTATTTAATATATTTTTTATTTAATTAGTTTATATGTCATGAATAATTCTTTTATTAAATAAAGTTAGGTAATTATAAGATTATACGTTACATTTTGGTATTATAATTAAAATTAGTTTATTTGATTAGTTTAGTTAGATTTAATTACAACTTAATTGAAGATATTTTTTTCAATTTAGGATTTAAATGATAGCTAAATGTTTGGCAATTGTACTGTATACGAATGAAGGTATTATGGATGGTTTAAATGAACCTGATTATGATGGACCGTCAAGTGGAGGTTTTACTGTATATAGTGGTATTGAGTTTGGTTCAAACGGTTGGAGTGTCACTGAACGTAGATATGAGCAAAAATAAATTTGAACTTGTCTGTAGACACGCTAGTCAAACACTATCGGGATTAAGTAAATACACTTCCATTCCATTAGAGAATCATAATGCACTGGATTTAATGTTCGCAATTGCACTGTCATGTCCACAACTAGTGGAATTACATGTGAATGTTAGAAATATGATAAATGTCTCATTGGACCACGAGGAACCCAGCCAATGTCTCGAACATAGTCAATGCCTTGATCTTGAACCTGAGTTAGTTGTGCCTCCAGTGACTCATTTAGATGAAGATATGGATTTAATTGCTGATGATAGATTTATAGAACTCAGGACAATAACAGATGATGAGTTTGATGAATTGGACCTCGAGGGTGAACATGACATCCCTTCTCCAACATTTAATGACATAGCCAATGACATGGTTAATTGTAATGCAGAACATGATTCTATTATTCAACCTCTGCCTGCTGAAAATGATATGTTGTACAAGAGGTTCATGTGTAATGATAAAGAAACTATGCAACATATTGTCAAATGTTTTGCTTTAAGGAGTCACCACCCTTACAAACTTGTAGAATCGGCACCATCTAAATGGGTAATTAGATGTAAGAAGTGGCAAGATGGATGCAAATGGAGACTTCGAGCGATTCTTAATAAATCATATGACATATGGGAGACTATGAAGTACGTAGACCAACATTCTTATGTGTATTCAGAATTCAATAAAAGTCATTGCCAATTAGATTCGAATATGATAAGTAGAGAATTCTGTGATGCAGTCATAGTTAATCGTGCTACAAGTATTTCAACACTTCAAGATTTGATGAAGGAAAAATTTGGATATCATGTTCCATATAGGAGAGTTTGGGAAGGAAAAACAAAATCTTTGGCTCGCATTTTTGATGATTGGGATGAATCATATCAACGTTTGCCAAAGTGGATGTACATGTTGAAACACACTAATCCAGGGACAATTGTCAAATGGAAAATTAGGGATTATGGAAATCCATGTAATGACATTCTCCATTCTGTATTTTGGTCATTTGGTACTTACATTGCAGCCTTTCAAAGTTTTTGACCCATGCTTCAAATAGATGGTACTCACCTATATAGAAGTATAAGAGGAAGTTGTTGATTACAACATCGGTCGATGCAAATGGATATTTGCTACCTCTTGCCTTTGCCATTGTAGACGAGGAGTCTCGTGAGAATTGGAGATGGTTTCTAAAAAGCCTAAGAAAGGTTGTTACACATGAAGAGATATGTTTGATTTCAGACCGACATGAGGGTATTATCTCTGTTGTTAATAATCCAGATAATGGTTGGACCGAACCTAACTCACATCACTGAGTTTGCCTACGACATGTTGCTAACAACTTCAACCATAAATACAAGTGTAAGAAATTGAAAACATTGGTCTATCGTGCTAGTTCTCAATTCCAAATTCGGAAGTATAACGAGTTCATGGAAAAGATTAAATTACTGAATGGATTATGTATGAATTTCTTCCGCAACATTGGGTTTGAGAAGTGGACCCTATCACATGATGGTAGGTTTCGATATAGGTGGGTGATGACCAATATTTTAGAATGCATTAATGGAGTGCTCAAAGAAGCTCGAATGTTACTCATCACTACATTGGTGAAACTTACATTCTACCGATGCGTAAAATATTTCGAGAAGCGGAGGGAGAAGACAAGAGATGCTTTAAGTAGAAGTGAAAAATACACAAGGTATTCTTTAATTTGTTGCTTAATGTTCTTTACTGTGTAAATGCGGTTAACTTACATAATCAAGCTGAACAGGTATGCTTACGATAAGCTTGGTCAATAGGCGACGAGATCCACAAAACACACTGTAGTCGATTATGATCGAGTCGTCGGTGTGTTTCATGTGAAAACAGGAATTCATTCTTACAATTCAAGAGGAGGGAACATACAAATAGTAAGAATAACTGCTTAACAACGTTCATGTACATGTAACAAGTGGCAAACGTATGACATACCATGTTCTCGTTTAATGACTGTTTGTTCACACTTAAACTTTAACTACATGGACTATATTGGTTGTTACAAGATTTCAAAGTACGGTGAGTTTTACGGTCCTCAATTTCAGCCCATCCCACATGAAGATTATTGGTTTCCTCATCCAAACATGCCTATATTGCATGTGGATCCAACTTTATTGAGTGTGCCTGGAAGATCAAAGAGTTCACGTATTCATAAAAAGATGGATTAGAGAGAACCAAGTGCTCAACAAAGATGCGGCCTTTGTAATCAACTTGGTCACCATCGAAAAAGTTATCCTTCAAAACGATGAGAAGCACCATCATAATTGTTGATGTACTTTAAAATTTTAGGTGGAATCATTTATGTTTTTTTTTGTCAACGTAATTTCTTTTTATGTGAATTGTATTTGTTGTTAGAATTATCTATGTAATTTTTTTTTTGTCAACGTAATTTATTTCTATGTAATTGTAATTTTGTAGTTACTGTTGCAATTTGATGAATTTTATGATGAATCTTGCTTACTGAAATAATATTTTGATTTAATTTTCGAACTAATGATTATCTATGGTATCAGAATATGGAACTAGATCTAGGTCCTATTGGTTGATTTGTATTGTATGCCCAAGCTCAACATCGATCAGAATTAGTTTGGCAAGGTCAGTGTAATGAGGAGTTGCACTGCCAACGTAGAGAGACAGTATTTGATCACTCCATCCCACTGCATCCTCTAATTGAGCTCGCATTACACGCTTCTGGATTTTTCAGATCTGCCAGATTAGGATTCATCCAGTTAGATTAGCATTTGATAACCGCACTTGTAGAATGGTGGAGGCCAGAGACTCATACATTCCACATGTCGGATGGAGAGTGTACTATCACTCTACAGGATGTAGCGGTGCAACTTGGGTTACCAGTAGATGATGAGCCTTTACTGGTCTCATTGATTATGATTAGAAAGGCACTTGTCAAACATTACTTGGGGTGACTCCAGATGATCGACATATCAGAGGATCCATACTAAGTTTACCTTGACTAGTTTCTCAATTTTGCAACCTGAATGATGATGCAGATGAAAAAACCATTGCTAGATATGCTCGTGCCTATATTATGCAGCTTATCGGTGATAGCCTATTGACCGATAAGTCTAACAACTTGGTGCATTGAGTGTTCCTCCCACTCCTAACAGATTTGAGGTAGCTGGACTTTTCTGTTGAGGTGGAGCATGTTTATCATGATTGTACGAAAATTTGTGCAAAGTGTCCCGTTCTGCCTCATGTGACATTGCCGATCCTATTATACTTCTTCAAGTATGGGCTTGGGATCGGTTTCCAACGATAGCTCCACAACGTCGTCCCATCTCGAATCACGAACTCGTGGGTCGACTAATTAGCTGTCCAATACGTCAACTATTAAATTATTCTACATATTTAATTGTTCTGCTAAAATCCTTGTTAACCTATAATAGTATTGTAGATGGAGGGATCAATTTTGTGTTACAGAAGTATCTACACATTTTTTGATCCAATATAGATACATGTTCGACCTCTTGTCTCCAGGCTCGGTACGTGTTTAACTGGTTGAAATTATAAGTATTTATTGATATAGATTTAATTATACGTTTTTACACTATTTCAGATGATCTAGTAGCCATATACTAAGGAATTTGCAAGCCTACCTGCCTACTGTACTAATGGTCATGACGTATGGTGCACCGTAAGTCCATCATATGCTTTCATATGGTTGAGTGACATCAGCCAAATAGATTACAAGATAATTTGGTATGAAACAAGTAATTCCATATATGCCCAGCTGGGAACCGAGGATACATGACGTAGACATTCGAGATAGCACATGGCAGGAACAGACTGCACCTTATGTGGTGAGCTAGGTGGCGCGTGCGTAGAGATTTTATTATCATTAATTCTCCCGTGGACGATGATGGTGCTTGCGATCAAGAATTCATGAGTTGGTATTTATCCATCACTATGCGATATATCACTCGAGGAGGAGCATCATTTGGTGCTACGGTACGATTTTAATTTGGTTATATAAAATATTCGAATTTAAATCTATATTTATTTAATTTTATTTTTTATCCATGTAGGCTACGTGTTTCGAGCAAATAAGTATTGTCTCGTCAACGGAAGATATTAATAGATTGTGTAACGTTGGTGGGAGACATCTACAAAGCCTACTATGGCTCGTGGCCCTAGACGTAGAGGACGTCGTCAAGTAGATCAGGATGCCCCAGTAGAGCTTGATGATCCTGTACCTCAAGTTATTTATCATAACGTCGAGGACGTTCCACCGTTTACACAGACACAAGATGATGCTGGTTTGTCCACACCTATGGTCATGCTACTGGCTCTTGATTCTAGTTAGTATCGCACACCACCGTTGCCGCCATCGTTGCCACCATAGTATGGTTATGGAGCCGGCTGTGGATGTGGACGTGGGGAGCATGGACAATACTTCAACCCTACAGATGATCGAGACACTAGTGGCACCAATAGTTCTTCGTCAGCGACATCGTAACCGGCGATGTCCCCATTGTGGTACTGATTAGATGGATAGGCGGTAAATTGACATATTTATTTTATTTATATAAACGTAAAACATTATCCTCCGATTTTTTATATATATATTTTTTATTGAACTACAATGGAAATTAATCTTGAATAAAAATAAAACATAAATCTTAATGAAATGAAAAAAAAAACTTTTAAGAAGAAAATTATAAATAAAATATATAAAAAAATAAATTTAAATTTAAAAGATAAAAATTTAAAAAAAATTGTAAGATGGTCATCACTTGAAGAGACGACCATGTTTGATTTAAAAAAAAAAGTAGACGTGGCGCCACAGTGATGCCACGTACTTTGGTCTCCACGACCATATTTGATTTAAGAAAAAAGTAGACGTGGCACCACGTACTCTGGTCGTCTCTTTAAGCCCCATAAACTATATTCCAGCATTATTTATGGAATAAGTTTGTAAACTTGCATTATTTTCGTTTTTTTAATTAAAATAGCATTATTTTAAAAATAAGTTTATTAATTAACATTATTAAAAAAAAAACTTGTACAAACGTTTTAACTTTAAAAACTAAATTGACCAAATATTACCTGGTCAAATAAAATTTACTTCTGACCTTTATTGTGTTTTCCATTTACTATATTAAATGAATTTTGTATTACTTTAAAATTATTAAACTTCATATTATATTAATGGCATAACTTTCTTTTTAATAATGGATAATCTCATGTAGGAAAAGTAAATATATCGATGGTGTTGGATGGTCAAATTGTTGACGACCGACTTATTTCTATTTACCGTAGGTCGGTTGTAGAAACTTAGCCGGAGAAGCTTGACATTTGAACCTGCTTTGTGAGGTAGGGAATAGACCGGTCCCTAGCTGGGATCGGAGGTCGCTTGGGGGAACCCAGCCCGAGCAGGGCTATATTGAGATGAGACGTCTATCTACCCCATTGACCACTATAAATACACCACCCGTTTCTATGCCCAAGTATGAAATTTGTTTGACGCTGATCTATTGAGCTCAGATTATATACTAACTTGGGCGTCGGAGTGGCTTACCTTCTTGTAGGTACCCCATGAATCACTCTAAGTGTTGCCAGCCGACCTCCCAGGTCGTCCTCTGTGCCTTGGCAGATTTTTGTATCACAAGATGAAATATTTGAATTTCTATTTTTTTTATGCAACTAACAGAGTATGTACAAAGGAAAGTGTGCAATTTAAGTTAGCAAAAAATTTCAAACTCTCATTTTTCCTTAAATTTAAATAAATAAATAATTTGAGGACTTCATAATAACGGTATATGTATAATATTCAACTTATATGAGATACATATTCTTTTTTATTAAATTGTGTGATGAGTAAATTAAATACTAAATTTGCCTACATTTTTATTCTGGTTCGGATATGAAAAAATTTTAAATATATAAAAATTTATATGAAATAGGGAGACAAATATTTAATTACCAGTAATTATTGGATTTAGTTACTTGAAATGTGATTTTACTGCATCGGTTGTCTGAATGAATATGTT